TACACCTCTGTGCAAGTGGGGGGCTCACGAATTGGAATTTTTAAAGAACTACCCCCTAAAATGTTGAAAACCAGAAAAGAATTCGGCTTTCTTGTTAAAGAATTGCAAAATCAACAGATACCATTTCGGTGGGACGCCCCAGTTGGTATAATTTTGAGATACAAGGGAGAAAGATATCGTTTGAACACCGTGGAGAAGGCAGAGCACTTCTATACTACTATTCTTAAGGAAAGAACACCATCCCCACGTACATCTACAGTTTTGGAGATTAAGGAGAGTGATGAGAAGCAACCTCAACGAGACTTGCAAGAACAGTCTAAGCAGGAACCAGAGGAAATGCAAGGCGCAGAAGGAGGTTTTTTGGATGAGCCTTTGCTGGAATCTTCTCCAATCTTGGACCCGGTTCGGATGATCGAAGTTAAGGATCAACGTATAACTTGAGCTCAATCTAAATTACTTAAACAAAAGCAACAACAACAACAGGAAAGACAAGACAAGAAGGGAGCTAAGACTACTACACAAGAGACTGGAGCCATGGGGGGAGCGACTCCGAAGATCGTGGATGATATTCGGTTATTCTGCTCTTTGCTCCAGAAGGATGAAGATGATGCTTAAGTGTTTATCTTGGAATGTGAATGGGTTGAATTCAGCACAGAAAAGGAAGAAATTATTTACATATTTGAAACAATTTAATAATGATATAATTTGTCTACAAGAAACGCATATTACAGTTCAAGATCAAAAATACTTGATAAACTCCAAATTAGGAATACATTTTATATCTTCAACGTTGCAAAAAAAGAATGGTGTGGTTATCTATGTAAATAAGAAATTTACGGCTAAAGTTATAGAAACAGATGAAGATGGTAGGTTTGTAGCAATTGAATTACTTACAACATATGGCCAAATTCTTTTGATAGGAATTTATGCTCCCAACCAACAACAGGATTATTTTTATAAAATGTTACATACTAAAATACTACAATGGGACTATAGATCTATTTTAATTATGGGAGATTGGAATGGAGTAATAGACTCTAAATTAGACAAAAGAAGTTCAGCGAAATCTAGGATTAGGTTACCTCAGACCTTTTTCGATATGAAAGAAGATTTGGAACTAAAAGATATTTGGAGAATACATAATCCAAAAGAACTGGATTATACTTTTTATTCAGATAGACATAGATCCTTCTCTAGGATTGATTTTATTTTGTTGTCAGATGATTTACTTCTCAAGACAAAAAGAACAAAGATTTTTCCAAGAATTTTGACTGACCATAGCCCAGTATGGATAGAAATTGAGATGGATAAGGTTGAGAGACGTTCTTGGAGATTAAATGAGAACTTGTTTAGATATGAAAAAAACACAACAGAACTTAAAAAGCATTTGAAAGAATTTTTTGAAATAAATTTGAATAAAGGTACCCCAATAGAAATTGTGTGGGACGCAAGTAAAGCTTATATGAGAGGGGTACTTATCTACATGAACTCTAAACATAGACTGTTTCGACAAAAGAAAAGATCTGAATTGGAAATAGTAATAAAGAATAAAGAACAGTTACTTATTAAAAATCCAACAGATGAAAGAATATGCAGTGCTATAAAACTTTTGAAAGACCAATTCCAAATGCTTATGGCGGAACAAGTTGCAACAAACTTACAATATGCGAAGCACAATACATTTTGTAACGCTAATAAACCGGGCAGATGGTTGGCTTACACATTGAGGAAAAAACAAAGTATACGGACTATTGATAGTATTGATATTGGAGGGAAAGAAATTTTTCAACAAAAATTAATTAAAGAAGCTTTTGTGGACTATTATACCAAACTATATGCCAAAGAGGAGGTGCAGAATGGACTTATAGAAAAATATTTAAACGATAAAAGAGTTACAAAAATTACTGATCAACAAAAGGAAAGAATGAATTATCCTATAACAGAGGAGGAGATAATAGTAGCAATTAAACAGCTAAAAACAGCCAAAGCTCCTGGCACGGATGGTTTGACCGCAGTGTATTACAAAACTTTGCAAGCTGAAATGGTGGAACAACTCAGAGATTTATTTTGCAATATTCAACAAGGGGGTAAAATACCCCCATCATGGACAACAGCTTACATATCTTTGATACCAAAAGAACAAGTTGGTCCTAAAAAACCAGAGAATTACAGACCAATATCTCTTTTGAATACAGATTATAAAATCTATGCGAAAGTACTAGCCAACAGGTTGATGCCAGTAATCCAAAAGGTGATTCATGATGATCAAGCGGGATTTATCGAGGGCAGACACATGAAGGATAATGTAAGGCAAGTAATAGATTTATTGGAATATCTTGAGAAGAATAAACAGATTCCTGCAGTGCTGGTTTTTTTGGATGCAGAGAAGGCCTTTGATAGAGTGGATTGGAATTTTCTACTAAAGACTTTAAAAAAGATGGATTTTGGGGATCAATTTATACAGGCGAATTCAGCAATTTACAAGAGCAAAAGGCACAGATCATTATTAATGGAAGTTTGACAACAGAGTTTAAAATTGAAAAAGGAACAAGACAGGGATGTCCGTTGTCCCCACTTTTATTTATTTTAACACTAGAAGTCTTGCTAAATACAATACGGGATTCTAATATCTTGAAAGGTATAATGATTAGGCAAGAGGACATCATTTGTTTCAAATGATCCCGGTGCTTAAAAGTGATAAACAACTGAAAGTCTGGCAAACTGGAGTCAATAAGTTTGTCTGGAATGAGAAAAAGCCGAGAGTGAAATTGAAAATTATGCAAGATGTTCCAGAAAGAGGAGGTCTTAAACTTCCAAACCTACAGTTATATTATGATGCAGCAGCTTTAACTTTAGCAAGTGATTGGTTTGGAAGGAAAAAGGCTGGAATATTGAATGCAGAAAGTTTTGATCTTGAATTTGGATGGCATGCTTACTTATTTTATGATGACAAAGTTGATAAAGTATTTAAAAGTCATATACTTAGAGACTCTTTGATGAGAGTTTGGAAGAAGCACCAACTTAAATGGGATTATAAAATACCGCTATGGCTGGATCTTGGTCATACTTTGTGGAATACAAATATAATGTCACTCGGGGGGTTTTTATACAAAGAGGTTCTTTTTACAGATGCGGGCAGATGGCAACTGAAGACATTGCAGACACTGTTGGACGAAGAGATTAATTTAACTTGGTTACAATATAATCAATTACAACTGAGATGGAAAGAGGACCAAAAAACTGGTATTATGTTGCATGAGGAAGAATTGGTTAGACATATAAAAGAGAAAGGTCCAATGCATATTAAAAGGCTTTATAATGTTTTGTTAGAAAGGGATTCAGAAACAGAGTTAGTTAAAGATTGTATGATTAAGTGGGCACAAAATTTTGAAGAACCAGTGATGTTGGAAACATGGGAAAAAATTTGGGTTCAGAATGTAAAATTTACACAGTCGCAAAATCTGAGGGAAAATTTTTACAAAATGTTTTATAGATGGCACTTAGACCCCAAAAAATTGTCGTGTATGTACCCTAATGTTCAGCCAAAATGTTGGAGATGTGACTGTTTAGATGCTACATATTATCATGTTTGGTGGACTTGTAGGAAAGTTAAGGCTTTTTGGATAAAAATTTGGTGGGTTATGCAGAATGTTTTAAAGAAAAAAATTCAATTTTCTCCACAACTGTTTTTATTGGGTATAGTTAAGGGTTTTACATTGGGTGAAACAAAGTTGATATTGTATATGATAACAGCAGCAAGATTATTGATAGGTAAATACTGGAAAAATGAAGCTTTGCCCACTATCGAGGAATGGACTATGAAGATGGCCAGTTTTGCAGAGATGGCAAAGATTTCAGCATATCTAAAAGACTGTTCACAAGAGACTTATGAATGGGAATGGAAAAAGTGGATAGATTATGTTCAGAACAAATACCAAACTAGAAAGTATCAAATAGCTTTTATTTGAAAATAATGTATTACAAATATTTTAATGTAATGAGGGTAAAAAGAAAAACTATAAAGGGGAGGGAGGGGTTCAAGTTTTTACATAAGTGTTATATTAAGGGGTTTTTTTTGTGTTTTTTTTTTATCTTTCTTTACCAGTTATGAGTACATTATAGGGAAGTCTGGGGGGAGGGGAGGGTTAGGGAGGGTTAGGGAGGTTGGGAAGTTTGGGGGGGTGGGGTGGGGAAAGGGGTGAAAATGTAATTGTAAAACCTTTGCAATAAAAAAAAAGTGTTTTTTTTTTTTACAATCTCTTCAGCCGAAGAGGTTGTAGAAAAAATGCTTTTAAAAGTTAAAAAAAAAAAAAAAGTTGGCCATGCCCACTCAGTCACATTACCCCCCACCAAGCCATGCCCACAGAACCGGTAGTAACTAATTTTACATTTCACCACTGATATGGAGAGAGTGGCCCAACATATACCAGAAACAATATCAGAGCTCTCTGTCCAGAAGAGTTCAGTGTTAGGAACAGCTAAGATATTAAACAGAACCCTCAAATTTCCAGGCTTATGGAATCTGGATCTGAGATTGAGGAAGACACATTTGACCCATAAGAGTGAGAAGGGATTTTTTTTAAATATTCTAATTTTTCTCATGAAATCATAGCTCTCACTCCCCCTTTTCTCCCTCACAACAATCCTGTGAGGTAAGTTAGGCTGAGACTGTGCGAAATTGCCATTACCTTCCATATGGGAAAGCAGACTTGATGTTCTGACTTCTAATCCAATACTTTCTGTAACCGCGTCACACTCAGGGGATCATTCTGTAGAATGTAATATATATATAAAATGAGACACCCCCCCCAAAAAAGACTACAGTAGGCAAGATGACCTATAAAAACAGTAGCTTCTTTTGGACCTCTTACCTGTCTGTCTGTTTATAAATCTGTCTATCCATCAATCTGTCAATCCATCGAGAAACATCCAATAAAAAACAACATAGTTTTTCTAAACTAGTATTTTTTTCTAGTATCTATTCTTTATCTTTAAAACAGAAATGTTCTGCAGCCTCTCTCTGCAACATATCTACTGAAGTCCTAAAAGTAATCAATGCAACAGAAGAATTCATTGCAGAATCCACAAAATTATGTGATTTCCCAGCAGAAACATATGAAAGGGGGAACAGAGAATTCCCATTAGGCACAAACCTTATCCAGCTTGATGGGCAGCTCACAACATTGGAAGAAAATGTAAGAGTGGCAGATATGTAACTGTATAAACTATTCATGCCATTGAATGTTTTGAAAGCATTAAGAGTGATTAATTTTGTAGAAAATGGGAGCACTTCATTTGGAATTATCAACTAAAATGACTTTTAGGGAAGATCAAATCTGATCACAAGTAGACTCTCCTTAATGTCTGCCTCATTTAAAACGAAATCATGCAATATGCTATCACAATGATGCACATCTATCTATCTCTCTATTTCACATCTTATATCAGTTTTAAAAATTCATTTAGTTTCTCTATTTACAAATTGAAAATCCCTCACAGATTATATCCCAGATTTATTGGTTCCTGTATAACAGGAGGTGCGAGGTGGCGCAGTGGTTAGAATATAATACTGCAGCTACTTCAGCTGACTGCTAGTTCAGCAGATTAGCAGATCAAATCTCACCGGCTCAAGGTTGACTCAGCCTTCCATTCTTCCGAGATGGGTAAAATGAGGACCCAGATTGTTGGGGGCAATATGCTATTTAGTATACTGTCTTTGGTGTAAGCCGCCCAGAGTCCTCAGAGAGTGGGCAGCATAGAAATATGACTCATAAAAAAAATAATAATAAATTTCTCCATTTATCCTTTTCCTTTGTTCATGTTTTCCTTTGGAACCATTTCACATTAAATCTCTGCTTTCTCTTTTATTTATCTAGAAGCCATGTTCTTTGCTTTGTCCCCTTTCTTCATAATATTGTATTCTTGTGTTCCAGTATTTAAAATGGTCAACATATAAGTGGGAACATTCTTAGGATGATCATATTTTATACAGCACCTCATTAGGAGTAATTAAATAATATATGTGCATTTTTTGAGTCGGAACTTAAAAACTTTAATGCTTTACAAGATTCCACAAATCTGAGAGTATAACTCAATAGTGGTACATGGTCTATTTAGGTCTATCTGACAGCTGGCAGTGTGTATGGCCTGGAGAGTCAGTTAAATGATCTTGAGGATGCAGCTCGTAAAATTAACACCATTACTGCAGAAGCTGAACTAGCTGATCTAGAGGATCAAGTGGCAACAGCTGCAGCACAAGTTCATCATGCAGAGCTTCAGGTAATATTGACAACAAGCTATTTACTGCATGGACTTCATAACTTGCATATGCTTGATACTTAAACTCCAGATATAAATCCATTGTTCATAGATATATATGTAAAGGAAAAATATATGCTTTATATAGATAAATATTACTGAGTAATATTAAGACTCCAGAAAGAAAAAGAAAATGGAGTTTAAATGATTTAGTTCAAATAGGTGTCACTGCAGTTAATGATGTACAATTCAGTAATTTGCACGTCTTCATCACTTAACTTTCATTCTCTTTTTTAAATGTATAGTTCTTTTAAGATTTCAGATATTGAGAGAAGAATTTCAACCCTTTCAGTAGCAAGCTTGAATGTGGCTCCATATGTTCATTTGACAAGAAGATGTGATCACCAGACAAGTCAGGTGAGGAAAAGTACCTGCCACTAGTCACAACTATAATAAGGAAAACCTGTGAATTAAAGTAGGTTTCTGTATGCCTGGCAATCTTGTGCAATTGAAAGTATATGAGTCCCCAGTAAAATATACACACAATGTAGAATGGGAAATATATTTCCACTTAGGGCTACTAGTCGCTCTGCTTATTTCCCACTCTTTACCTGGGGAATATACACAGAAGAAAAACAAACTAAAGCTGACAAAAAATAATAGAAAGTTAAGTAAATTGTAACAATATAAATGCAGCTCTAAGATTTTCAACATATATTTTATTTAAACCAAAATATTTTAAAATTAATATAGCAATTAATTTGAAGACTTTGGTCTTACTGTATTATAGCATTTTACCTATATGCACTAAATAAATATTTTGAGATAAATATTCTGGATTAACCCATAGTCATTAATAAAGGCATTTTTTCCTATAGATCCATACAATAGACACATCCAGACAACAGAGACGAAAACTTCCAACTCCACCAATGAAAGGTAACAATAACAATGATAAAAACCTCATTTTTAATCAGCAGATATGGTCAGGCTATTGTGAGTAGTATGATCAAAATAGGAATAGTCAAAAATTATACTAAAACTATGTTAGATGCTCTGAAATAAAGATGAAAAGAATGTGTTAGAAAACATATAAACATATTAAGCAATTATCATTTTTGCATTTCATTATCATCATCATCATCATTATCATCATCATTTTAGACATTGTCTATCCACTGCAGGATGAAGGCCTCTTCAGCATGTTTCCAACCAATATGGTCCTGAGCTTTCCTTTGCGAATTGGGCCTGCTGATATCATCAATCCATCTTGTTTTAGGTCTCTTTCGTGGATGCTTTTTATCAAGTGGGATCCATTCTATGACTGCCTTGCTCCGTCTGCCATCAGTCTTCTTGCTATGTGACCAGCCCATTTCCATTTCATTTCTTTTACTCTCTTGAATATACTCTCATGTACTTTCATTTGTTCTCTAATCCATATGCAGGTCATGATATTTTGTCTTGTAATGCCAAGCATGTAACTTTCCATGGCTCTTTGCACCACTCATAACTTTTGTATCAATTGTGAGGTCTGTGTTTCACCAGCATATGTTAGCATATGATCAAAAACTTTTCTCTTCAGGCATAGGGGAAGGTTGTTCTTGAAAATTATGGTTAGCTTGCCGAATGCCTGCCAATCACATTTAACACACCATTCAATTTCCTTTATTGTCTCACTTTCCATTGAGTTCTGTTGGCCAAAGTATATGTAATGGTCTACTACCCTGTTTTCCCCAAAATAAGACATTCCCTGATAATAAGCCCAATCGAGCTTTTGAATGCATGGCAATAAGGCCAAGCACTTATTTCAGGGTTCAAAAAAATATAAGACAGGGTCTTATTTTCGGGGAAACACGGTATGTCTAGTTCTCCTCCAGATATAAAATATTTTCCTTCTTTGGTGAATTTATTAAACTTAACCTGGCTCTTTTTCAGTTTTATCTTTAAGCCAAATGCTTCTCCTGCTTTGTGCAGCTCTTTTTGTGTCTTCATAGCTTTTCTGAGTCTTGCGAGAAGAGAATACCATCTGCAAATCTGAAGTAATTTAAATAAGCGCCATTGATTTTTATTCCATTTTTTGCCCAGTCTAGTTTGTGAAATACTTCTTCAAGGCAGGCTGAGAAGTTAGGAGATCAATATATTATCCTTCTTGGAGTTTTTAACCCATATATTTCTCAAATAATAACTTTAAACCCAAATAAAATATGTAAGGCTATCTCTGTCTTGATAAATTGCAGTTTGTAAACTTTACACTTTGGCTAAATGAATGTGTTTTGTACATCAATATACATTTGGTGCAGAAATCTGATATACATTAACTACAACATTTTTGAAAATGCAATAAAATGTTCCATACATTTTCTGTGGAATCCTTATACAATATGTTTTTTATCTTTAAAAAAGATGTAATTATTTATTAAAAAGGGGGAAATTGGTTTTATTAATCTTAACTAGATCTTTTTATGTAAAATAATACCCAGTTTTTCACAATTCTCCTTATTGGAAATTTTCCTTCTTGGGTTCTTCTACAATATTCATATATTACACCTTTAATTAACTGAACTGTCTTGATATGAAAACTAATTAGATTTCAAATGTTCTAATTTCTGTTACATAACTCGGAAAAAAGTACGATGTTATTTTTAGGAAATGTCATTTGATGAGGCAGTTTTCCTCATGGAAAATTAATGCTATGGAAAATCCAGCTCTCAAAATTATTATTTTTTAAATGAATTATATGGAAAAATTCAATGAGAGCTAGAATTTGTACTTGGGATAGATTAGTAATTAATGATGATTTTAAAAGCAATTTATCACTTTAAAAGACAAATATTATTTGATCAGCTCAGTGGCAGCATTTGCAATTAAAACATCTATTGATATTGCAGCTGGACCTGGAGCATTTTCATTTAATCTACTACACATGATTATTAAATGTTTTGACATAAAACTCCCTACAATTAATTTTTGTATAGAGGATAAATCAATTTGATAGGCAATGGAATAAAGCACTAGAGAGTCCTATTTTCCCTAGACAATCGGGAGAAAATATTAATACAAGAAACTTCATACATTACTCAACAACTACCACAACAAAATTTTGGATTTAATTTGTCTTTTTTCCTTTTCCTATATTAAAACATTCACTAAGGATTACATTTATTCTCACGCATGATTTATTTCCATCATATACTGTTACTTCTGACCAAATAATATCAGCCTTCAACTCCATACAGGTAATCCTCAGGTTACGAGTGTTCCCTTAACAAGCATTCGAAGTTACGTGATAAGCGACCCTTAATGTTTGTGAACAAGTCCTGAAACTATGAATTTTAAAGCACTAGTTGTTCGCCCTTTCGAACAACCGCAGAGGCTCTGCAACATTTGTCTTGAACATTACCAGCCAAAATGGAGCTTTTGAGGGGCGAATCTGCCCCTCAGAAGCTCCATTTGGACCTCATGCTCCCCACACTCCCCCACCCAGCCACCCAACCTGCCATGCCGGGTCATTTACCTGATGAAGATTTAGCAAAAGTCTCCTCTCCAGGAGGAGACCACGTGCACTCCTCTGCAGTCCCGTTCAGGCCTCTGCAGGCCTCGCCCAGCAGGTTGCCAGCTGAAATGGAGCTTCTGAGGGGCAAATCTGCCCCTCTAATGCTCCATTCGGGGCTCCATTCAGGCCAAAATGCAGAGGGGCACACGTGGCTGGGAGGCTGGAGAGGAGACTGCTTGCTAGAGCTTGACAAGGTAAGTGGCGCGGCAGGCTGGGTGGGGGGGATAGCAATTGTTGGCAGCATGAGATATTTTAGTGGGTCAGGGAGACCACCCAAGGCCAGGATGGGGAACAGTCCACCAATAGACCCCACCCTGAAATACCTCAAGTGCACTTAACAAGCCTCACATTCGATTAACGAATGCATGGGCGAAAGGAGGTAGTGATCCCGTTCAAGGTATGAGATTCACTCCCACGAATCCTTGGGTTATGAATGGAATGGGTAGACTCCATTACATTCGTAACTCAAGGACTACCTGTATTAGTGCAAACATTGGTCTATACATTCTCTTCCCAACATAATACTGCACTGCATTTCTCAAATTCAATTATAAAAAACAAACAAATCAATATTTAAAACACATTTTTACTTTTTTTCTGAAAGTACATCTTTGTTAATGCAATTTATCTGATTCCTTTGGATACTATTTTGATCCACCTTGGAACAGTAGATATAGATTTCCAATTTCTTTCTTTAAGTAGGCAACTGTTGAAAAGGAATATGATCAAATTCTGGTGCCTAGGAAACTTCTTAATCGTTTGTTTGTTTGTTTGATCAATCAATCATATTTCTATATCACACATGTCTGTTATATGATTCTGTGTAACTTACAATTAAAAAATATCTAAACAGAATACTTTTGCCAAAATCATTTTTAACAATCAGAAATAACTATTTAATTTAATTTAATTTAATTTAATTTAATTTAATTTAATTTAATTTAATATTTAAATTTATATACCGCCCTTCTCCTGAAGGACTCAGGATGGTGAACAGCCAGAAGTAAAAAACATCAAATACAAAATTTAAAAACAATTTAAAAATAAATTAAACATTTTGGCCCGACAGTTGAAATCCCCCATTAAAAATCCAAATTAAAATACACAATTGGAGAGATTAGGCCAGCCCAACTTGATGAAATATAAAGGTTTTGAGGGCCCAACGGAAAGTACATAAGTCCAGAATCGTCCATATCTCCAGGGGGAGCTCGTTCTAGAGGGCAGGTGCTCCCACAGAGAAAGCTCTCCCCCTGGGGGCTGCCAGTCAGCATTGTTTGGCCGACGGCACCCGGAGGAGCCCCTCTCTGTGGGAGCGTACTGGCCGGTGGGAGGCTCTCGGTGGTAGAAGGCGGTCCCGTAAATATCCAGGCCCTAAGCCATGGAGCGCTCTAAAGGTGGTCACCAACACTTTGAATCGCACCTGGAGGACCACCGGGAGCCAGTGCAGCTCACGCAGGATAGGTGTTACATGGGAGCGCGGTGACGCTCCCATAATCATCTGCACAGCCGCATTCTGGACCAGTTGGAGCCTCCGAGTGCTCTTCAAGGGGAGCCCCATGTAGAGAGCATTGCAGTAGTCCAGGTGGGAAGTGACGAGCGCATGAGTGACCATGCATAAGGAATCCCGATCCAGAAAGGGACGCAACTGGCCAATCAGGCGAACCTGATAAAAAGCCCCCCTGGTCACGGCCGTCACATGCTCTTCTAAAGACAGCCGTGCATCCAGGAGGACACCCAAGTTGTGAGCCCTCTCTGTGGGGGCCAACGACTTGCCCCCAATAGTCAGACTTCCGGTGGCTCCGCGTTCCCTGAATGGACGCTCCTTTAGGAGCTCCAGCCCCGTGATTCCGTTTGCCGCTAGAACAGCGAAAATCAGCTGTTCTAGCAGCTCGAAACTCTCCCCCAGGGAAAAAGGGGGAGAGAAGAGCAGAAGGGTCTGGGTAGAGCTCCCCTAGACCCCCAGGCTTTTTTTTTTTTTTAAGCCTGGGGTTTGCAGGGTGAGAGCTCCCTGAAAGCCCTTCAGTGCTCCGGATACGGGACGATTCTGCTTTATGCAGAACAAGGGATCGCGACCACACCAGCAGAGCAATTTTAAGGATTATGAGAAAATTTGAACCTGGACGCTGGCAGAGCAAAATCAGGAGAACAGAAAATGCAAGTACTAAACTTTAACTCCGTTTAAAAGAAAAAGAAAAAAGATGGCGCTTAAGGGCATTAAAACAAAACTTACTAGTGAAAGTGATCGTTAAAGCTGCGATCGTAAAAGCTACTGGATTACGTGGCAAGAAAAAAATTTAAAGTGCTAGTGGAATGAAAAAGACTATGGTACTGATCCCAACTACTTTATACTTCTAAATTGTGTGGAAAATTATTGGACTTATTGATC